GGGTTTGGGGTTTATTTGTAGCCAGAAAAACCCCTAGCTTTCTTAGGACTTTCGTACATAGCCTGAGGCCCTAGAAGGTAGGTTTATTCAGGTAGGGTTTAGGGGCTGGGCCTGGGAAGATGGGAGAGCCTGGGGCTTGGGTTTTTGATGGTGCCCTGCCAGTTTGAAGGATACCTGTTCTGGTAAGGGCTCGTCTACAGTGTACTACAGCAGACCTCGAAGTGGGGGCTCGCTTATGAGTGGTCTAGAGATGCTTTTGAAGGTTGCAGAGATGAAGGCACAGGGCGCCTGAATGGATTCATGCGGTTTCAGGTTGTTATCCAGGTTGTGACTTGAGGTTTCCCTCAAACTTCAATGCGACGCCCCAAGGCCCCAAAACCATGCCATACTGGCATACTCTCAAGCATGAAGCCGCAGCAACCCGGAACACGCCCCCGCTTTTCTGACTTCTGGTTGACAAGCGCGACGGGCTCTGGAAGCCAAAGTCCCCATCGCTTCTGCCATCAGGAGGAGCTGATGACGAGGTGTCGACGCATGGCCACACGCTCTGAACTCCCGGATATACGCGTGGAGGGACGACAGTTCTTTTCAGGAAGACTCGGATTTGGGTTTGGGCTTCCACGACCGTGGACATCAGTTTTGCCTTTTGGTTTGGGTTGACTTGTCATTGCTACTACAGCGTTTGTTGCAATCCTCAAGCGTGTTGGGGGTTGCTGTCACCCTTATGTTGTCTTACCAAAGCAAGTTGCCCCAACCCTGATCCCTGAACCCTCAAACCCGAAGCAAGGTACCTTTAGCATCCTTTGCTGGAGTTGTAAATCCCCTGATCCCTGATCACTGCAGCACAGGCCCGGAGTCTCAGCACCCGTGGGGGTGGCCTGGCAGCCGTGGAGACCATGGCGCTGCCGCATGAAAGCGGGGTGGAGGCCGACGAGGGGGGGGGGGGGGGGNNGTTTAGGGTTCAGGGTTTAGATTCAGACTGGTTTCCGTCTCACACTTAGAGTCGTGTCGCTACGACGGGCCTGACTCAGTCACCCTTGTCTAGCGATCAAGACCACCAGCTCTGCATCCCACAAGCCTGAACTGACTCTCCATGCTTGCCTGAGAGTTTTACGGTTGAAGGCTGAAGGCATGGCATTGCCGACCTTTTCAAGTTGCTGGCCTTTTATGTTATGCTGTAGCCCTTAAAGCCCAACTATAGACACGCGCCTACAACGCATGTGCGTATGACATGTTGGTTCAAGACCTGACCCGACACCACCCACACACATATATATATATATGTATATATATATAGATTTGTTCATCTATTAATTTATGTGTATATTTATATACGTACACACACACACATAAAGTGTTTCGATACAGGTTTCTTGTGTGTATGTATAAGCAATCATACATACACATGTATGCTGTGTTTATGCGTCGTTGTCTATGCGTCTATGTTGCTACGTGTCCGTGTGTCTATGTCTACGTCGATGTCCATTTCTGTGTCTTTATAGTACGTGCAGAAGTCAGTCTTGGCCACTTAGGTAGAAGCAACAAAGCCCTAAACCCTAAACCCTACACCCTAAAACCTAAACCCGAAACCCTAGCCTGAAAATGTCAGCAGGTGGCATGCAACCTCCTCGACGCGGAGCAAAGCCCTCCGCAGCTGGTGCTTCCATGCTTGATCTGGAGATTTATCTTCATGTGGGCTTACTTAGGGTTTTAGGGCTTAGGGCTTACTGTCGGAAGACGGGCCCACAAAAGAAAAGATGATGTATGAATCAAAACCTGTTACGGCTAAACAGGTCAACCACCAAGCTATGCATGATTCAAGCATCACAGCAGTAACAAGAGCACCGGAGGGCTGTGTCTACTACTCGGATATGCTTCCGATTACTTCCGTTGTGCAGAGTGTAAGGGATTAGGGTTACCCTGAACCCTCAACCCTCAACCCCAAACCCTCAACCCTCAACCCTATTTATTGATCTCCATCCACGTTTCCAGGGCCGGACCGTCTAGATTGGTTTCTCGACAAGACGTAACTGGTTCCGGGTTTGTTCGTGGCAGTGACACAGAGCAAGAATGGCGTAGGCAAACTTTGCTGCCGCCATTGTAGGGTTGGGTAACATTGCTTCGGCTGGGGCTGTCTCTGTGCCGTAAGACTTTTGCAAATACTGTTGCTCCGATGCATGGGGCTTGCTTGTGCGCGTGCGTGACTGTATGCACATACATATCTCCCGGTAGATGGGTGGGTATACATCTGTAGTAGTTGTTGTGCATCTTCAGGTACATAAACTTTCAGATGCACATCTAACTCTGCATGTGTATATCTATATATATATATGCGTATGTATATATATATATGTACACACATACTTGTTGTTTGTTTGTTTGTTTGGTATTGCCTGTAGACAGACATCACAAAACAGTACATGAATTACAGTACAGGTCTGTCCGCAACATTAACCTAAGCGTGTGGAGACCATATCATCTGTATTCTCGTACTTTATGCTTCTTCCAAAGAGAACCTCAACCAGATTAACAGCACTGCTCGTTTGAATCCTAAACCCGAAACCCTAAGCCCAATGACCTTTTCGTAGGCGGACGAGTCCTGCAAACGGAGAAGTAAGGGGCTCAACAAATGAACCTAAGCCACTGCGCTGATCAGAAGTGAGTTCGATTCCGCCGTGTCCACTGGCTCGAAGCTTGCGCTGCGGGCACTTCACGCGCAATGGGCTCGGTGTGCCCGGCGATGCTCTTCCGGGAGCTAGATTACAGGTTCTAATTTGATAGAACGAGGTTTTTCGGGGATGGGATTTGGATTATGTTTCTACAATGGCGATTGGTCATGGTTTTGACTCGCTGAAGACGAAAGTTCCACTGGTTGTGTACAACTTGTAGAGAAGCATTGACACTTACCTTCAAGCGAATGGTAAGTGTTCAAAGTGCGTACACTACCAGAAGCAAAGGTGCTGAAGTTCGAAGAGATTTGACCCTAAACCCTAAACCCCAAACCCTAAACCCTAAACCCTAATGCTCCGCTGAGGCTGCAGACCACACTGGGTGCCTTTTGCACGCATACGGGCCACCAACCGCTAGCATGACGCGAACGCCTTGTTTAAACAAAGCCTGTGTGTTCCCGGTTGATGTGTATGACGCTTTCATGAATACACTGAAAGGCCTCATCGATCCCAGGGCTACGAGCAAAAGGCAGCAATCACGGCAGTAGCATAGGGGCCTTAATCATTAGAATAGGGTTTTGGGAGTTCCTTATTATGACAATACTATAGTAGACCCCCCCCCAGACCCTATTCAATTCTAATTATTAAGGCCCTTACATTAGTAGGATTGGCAATTCTACGAGTGCTCGTGCAAGCACCGATATCTTTGGAGTTGTAGACGCAGTGGTGCCAGAAGTACCAACAGTCGTGTTCACGGAAGCCCAAACAAACACCGTAGCCGAAAAAACAGAACCCAAAGGCATAAAGCATAAACCCTCAACTCTAAACCCTACACCGTGAGCCCGAAATGGCTTCGTGCCAGGTGTGCCCAGCCTGTGCCTTGAGTTGCCATAGCGCGGAAACCCGGTAAAGTCTGAGCTCCCTAAACTCCACTTTAAGGGCCTGGGCCCTTTGTGAGTATTGAGGTTGAGGGTTCTGGGCTTTGGGGGTTTGGGGCTTTAGGATTCAAGCTTTAGGGAATGAGTCACCGGGGTCTGCGGTGCGAAGCGCTTCTCTGCTTTCGAGTCTTTCGGTTCTTCAGTTCAGGGCTGGCAGGCATACTGTTGCAACTACTGTTGATGATAGAAATCCTGCATGACCTTGAGGACCCTAAACTATGGGAATTATGGTATATTCCTGATTATGGGTAATGCAGGATTTAGATCATCAACCGTATCTAGGCAACCAGAAACTTTATAAGTCATACCCTATAAACTTTAGCTTAAACCATAAGCCCAAAATCCTAAATGCAATCTCATGTTGACGGAGATGTCCCTTGACCTGGCACGTAGGTCTTCGGCGTCTTACGCTTCCGATCTGAATCCTTCGAGTTCGCTAAACTTGGGGTTCTATTTTCCCCGCGTTACGGTTTAGGGGTTTGGGGTTTAGGGGTTTAGGGTTTGGGGTAGGGTATCATTTTGGTTTCTTCACTCTGGGCCACGGAACATTGTGGAAATCAAGAGTAACGTGCGAGGCACCTGCGGCGAAGGCTCCGCAGGAGACGTGCGGGGGTGTTGCTAAATTCGTAGCGCTCACTCAGGCACCCTTGACATGGACCGAAGATGTTGCCTAGCTCCAGCTAGGCCCCAAGAGTCTTAACCCTTAACCCGAGACGCTTGACAGAACCCCCCAAGGAAACCCCATAAAGGAGCGCCTAAACCCTAAACCCTCAATGGTTTACATGAGGCCTGCCAGCCCCGAGATGTAAGCAAGATTCCTGCCGAATCCTGCAAAGCCCGAAGTTCCTGCACATGACCGAAGGAGATCTGCCGATGTCTTCTGCAGCTGGCGGGGAAGGTACAGTAAGCCGTGCGTTAAAAATTCGCTGGGTTTGTCGCATCCCGGAATGTCAACCCTAAACCCTGAAGCCTACACATCCTAAACATGGGGTGGGGGGGGGTGGTTGAGAATTTTTTAAGGGTTTCACCCCCCCCCCCCCCACGAAGCCAATCAACCTACGCAGGCGATGAGGCCTTCCTCAACAAGTTCTCGCGGCAGAATGCGGCTTTTGGTGCGGAGGCAAATTTCTGAGTCAGCCTGCAGCTGGATTTCAGTTTCGGGCGCTCTGTGGGTGTTCTGTCGAGGCTGGCGCTTCATTCTAGCACGAAAGCATCAGGGCTGAACGGCAAGTCGAAAGAAATTTTGTGGACTCAGCCCACAGATAATTTGTGATCATGTTATATCAGAGTGTCCCCCAAAACCACCATAGCACACCCTGCCCCAGCTCGTAAACGATGCAGCCTGACCGAAGCAGCCCTAAGCCCTAAACCCTAAACCCAGGTCACCATGAAGATGACAAAGATGAAGGCCTTGGTGGTCGGCTGCACTGGCGTCGCCGCGGAGGTGCACCGCATAATTCGCAAGCCCAATACCCTATATTGGTGCCGAAAGGACAAACATAGACATACCTATATATGTATATATGTATGTGTGTCTCTGTCTGTCTGTCTGTCTGTCTGTCTGTCTGTCTGTCTGTCTGTTTGTCCGTCTGTCTGTCTGTCTGACTGTTGTCTGGCTGTCTGTATGTATGTATGTATTTACAAATACATATGTTGAAGGGCTGATTCCTCCATGCCCGCGTTCCTGAACCCGGAGTCGGAGTAGCTGGTAGAGTCTGGCAGAGCCGCAGCAAGTATGGCTATGTTAAGGTTCAAGGCTTGTGGTACGGGATAGCGTTTGGGGATGTTCTTGTCAGGATGACTAAGTTTGCTGCACTTAGGACATGTGCCTAATTGGTACTGAGCTCGTCATGGGCATCGCGACACTCCCGCTCGGACGTATCATCATCAATTTATGCTGCCGGACTGGTCGCTCAGGGTCCTATCCAAGTAGCATCATCGCTCGGAGGTTCATTCTGATCTCGGAAGTTTGTTTACTCAATCTGACATTTGCTATCAACCCTGCTTACTTCTTCAAAAGAGCGTCCAGGAAGAGGCTCTGTGAAGACTGCAAAGGCCAAAACTCGTCGGGGTCATTCAGAATCCCCTATACCGGAGGTCCACAGTAACATGGCCACTTGCACACAAACTGTGAAGCAACCGTCCTCTGCCCAGATCCCGCTAAACCCTAAAACCCTAAAGCCCTAAACCCTAAACCCTAAGCCCCTAAACCCCTCAACCCTAAGCCCTAAACCCCCAAACCCCTAAGCCCTAAACCCCTAAACCCTAAACCGCCCTCTGCCCAGAGTTCTGAGCTCTGGAAACCCCCCGGCAGAAGCACCCTGCATCCTCGACCTCGGCCCAGCCGAACATCCTGTGCCGCAGAAACCCAAGAGCCCGATGCCTCCGAAATATGAAGAAAAGGAACTGAATACGTGCATGAAAAATAGACATAAAGATGTAAGTAAGTAAGCAAGTAAGTAAGTAGGTAAGTAAGTAAGTAAAGTAAAGTAAAGTAAAGTAAAGTAAAGTAAAGTAAAGTAAAGTAAGTAAGTAAGTACGTAAGTAAGTAAGTAAGTAAGTAAGTAAGTAAGTAAATAGATATAAATAAACAAATAAATACATAAGTATATGTATATATAGATAGATATTTGTTTCTTCATCGGGCAAATACCTCTTATCATAGATTGTATATAGTCTATTACAATTATCACTGCGAACTCTCGCCACGCGCGAGATCGTGAAGAACCTCGTTCTGCAGGGCTTGGGGGCTGCCTGGTCCTCAGTGCGAGTCTTTCGGGCGGGCAGTGCCCTTAGTCTCGGGTTTAAGGTTACATAAACCCGGGTGTGCGATGACAGAGAGCTTCATGATGTTCTGGTGGGCCGGAAGACTTGGAGAGGGATTGTGAGGACATACTTTAGTAGTACTAGAGGCATATGGGTGGTTCTCTAAGTTAGGGTGCTTGTTGCGGTCTTTTTTAGAGGGTGCCGTACTATTTTGGGGACCTTCAAAGACACCCCAAGATCGAAAACTACCCATATGGTGCTTGCAGCAGCAGCTTGAGTGAGCACGATGTAATATGAAGAACAGGTCTTGCCTACATTTGAACTTCAAACACGAACCGCGAAGGAGCCTCATCGGGATTTATCAAGACCATAATGGCTTGCCCCTTCTCTATATACGATCTAATTGCGGTAGAATGCGCTTTCAGTCCCCCGCACGCTACAGTCACTACATGAGATCACGGGCAGCGGCTATACTCTGTTTCATGCCGAGGTTACGCTGGTCGACAAGAAGCCGGTGCAGATTCAGGAGAGGTTCTCGCAACATTGCATGTTCGGGCAAGTCGCAGCATCGAGCCGCATCTTCTAAGAACCCAAGGATATATATACATATATATATATATATAATATGTATGTATGTATATATATATATGTGTATATATTATATATTATGTTATTCATATATATATATAGGAGTATGATGTTGGGTTCAGCGAAGATCGGAAGAGAAAAGCAGACCAAAGCTTAAGCTTTGCATCGCTTGAACCCTAAACCCCAGATAAGACCAAGCCCTAAAGCCCGAGAACCTGAAAACCCTAAGCCCAAAGCCCCAAGCATCATACAGACCTCGTTTACGCTAGAGTTGTGGGGGCTGTGCGTCCGCAAGTGCCGGAAGCCCGAAGGCCATGAGACTATGAGGTACTCTGCAATATGGGGGGTTTAGGGTTTAAGGAGGATGGCTTTAGCACTTTGTGACCATGATGTGAGAGAATCCATGCGCGCCAAGGACCTGGGGACGAACTTTTTCTTGTCGGAGGCGGCTCCCACCCAATGCTGCCTCTTTGGGATGTCGAGAGCTTCGAACTTGGGGAGCTTATTCGGAGCTGCATGAGCGCAACCAGAATTGGAGCAAATTTTACTTATAGCTTGAATTCTGCAGCTGCCAACAGTCACAGTACTTCTGCTGCTCCTGTCGCCACTAATGCTAACGCTGCTGCTGCTGCTGCTGCTGCTGCTGCTGCTGCTGCTCCTAGCCACTGCTGCTGCTGCTGCTGCTGGTGCTGCTGGTGCTGCTGCTGCTGCTGCTGCTGCTGCTGCTGCTGCCACTTTCATTGTCACTGTCACTGCCTCTAGCCACCATCACGACGACTGCTACTAGTACACCACTTGCTACTCTTTGTTTGACTACTACTGCGACAGTAACTGTTGGGGATAATTAGCGAGAGCAAGAGGAGCAGCACTAAGAACACCATAACAACAAGAAGACGGGTATTCTGAGAAAGCAAAGTCTCAAAGAACAAGGGAACAGAGCCAACGGCCGATGCGCGAGGACGACGACGACCGTGACCAGTGCCACTGCCACAGAAACAGCACAAAGGCAGTAGCAGCAACAACAACGACTACGAAGATCGGTTGATTGTCACAGGGAACGGGAGCGCCAAAGGGCACCGCTACAACCAGCATCACCAGCACCCCCTACACCACTGTCGTTGCAGAAGTCGTTGTTTTAGTTTAACATTTTAACAGTGTCGGTGGGACTTGTGGTTGTGGAGCTCATCTCGCAGAGGCTGACGTGGGAAAGCCTTTGGCCGCCACGCTCGTTCCCAAGTTCCAGGACGACAAGCTGAGCCCTTTCAGACGTGATTACCGTTGTGGCCCAGTTTTGGCGCAGAAATTAGTGAATAATGCCCTAAATCCTCGAAGCCCCACTCCCCAAATCCCCAAGCTTCTATCGCAAGGTCATTCCCAGACATTTCCTCGCCTCAGGGCGGTGTGAGGGGCTTCGGTTTGGAGCTTCAACACCTGATCAGTGGCTTACTTTCCAGAGCGAATCCTTTCAACAAGATAGGGGCCTTAGTAATTAGAGTGGGGTTTGCGGGTATATTCTACTATTAGTTATAATAAAAGAGCCCCCCAAACCCCTATTCTACCTATTAAGGCCCCGACATTAGGGGCTCTCATCGTGAAGAGCCGCCACCTGCAGGCACCGTAATTTCAACACCCCCCCCCCCCTATTTAGGGCCAGTGCATGTCTTAAGGGGATCTTATCTGAAGTAAGAGCCTGATGCCTGCACTGCCTGCTGTAAGGTAACATCGGTTCGGTTGAAATCTGTAGTATAATCTAAGATGCCCCCACCCGTTCCAGAGAATGCTAGCTCGCGCCTGTCGAACTACTTTCAGGAGCTGAACCCCTTCTGCAGCATTCGTACCGAGACGTCCCTGACGCCGGAGGTGGGTGTAGCGGCATTGCTATTGTCGCCCGGTGAACTATGAGGGTCATAGAGACCTTTCCCAAGTTTGCCACTGTTGTTTCAAAGCTTGAAACGCTGTGTGTTGGCTTCGCAGTCTTCTACCCCTCCAAAACTCTTGCGTGATTATGGGGATTCAGTGTTTTGAGCTTCTGAGGTTCGAGTTTAAAGAAAGAGCAGAAGTCTCTGCAGGTGGTGCGGCAGCATTCCGTGCTGCTGGTCTGCGAGAGCATGCCCTTGCCGGACCTCTTAAAGCGCTGCCGACACGCTTGGAACCCATTGTGGAATCCCACTCATTGTCCCTAAACCCCTAATTCCCTAAACGCATAAGCCCCGAAACCCCTAACCCCTACTCTCCTAAACCCCCTAAACCCTAAACCCTAAAATGGAAACCCCAATAGGGACCTTGTAGGCTTCAAGACCTGGTAGGCTTCAAGGGTTGATTGCAGGGGCATGCGGACTTCTGCCGCCAAGTGGAGATTTCGAAACTTCGAGTCCGACGTAGCCCCTGACGTGTTTTGTTTTGGGGTTTTGGGCCTCGGGAGGCTGTAGCCCACAGGGTTTTTGCAGGTCTGTCTGTATGTTACTCAAGAGCCCCAGTACGGACCAATGGTTTTCGGAGTTATGTTGTGTACATGAGACTCTGAGACGCGAGCATTCAAGAAAGCCAGCATGCCAGGTGGAACGACTTTTGCCGAACAAATCAGCCAAAGCCGGTGGCCGCCAGACACCTAGGACGGCAGAAATGTAGCCCAGTGCAGATGAGAGCCCAAGTCGTGCGTAGGAGTGTTGCGAAGAATGTTGCCGTGCAAAGGGCCTCATGGCCTCCGTGGTATGACCTCTCGCTCAGTGAAATCTCTGAGTTCATCTACGTGCGCACTGGCGGCGTCTTCGGAAACGTCTTTGTGGATTTCGGTCCCCAGCATGTGCTGATGGATGCCAATGGACAGGCCTCAGTTCCCGGCGGGCTGCATTGTACTCTGCGATTTGCATAATTGTCATATTATATCGTCTTGCATAAATATATCTGGTTTGTTACTCTATTGGATACCTCCGCCGTTCCGTGCTGCTCACGGTTTTTCAGCAGGGTTTTTAGCAATCGGGATCCTTGCAGCAAGCCTAAATAAGGGGTTTGGCTTCGCCGGTGTTCGCAGGACACACAAACAAAGGGCATCTAAATCCCTTTTGTCATGAGTGGTGGGGTTTTCGTTTTTGCGCGTCTGCCAAGCGGGACGCAGCTACGCCTGAAGAACTGCCTTTAGTAGGCTTTAGGGTTCCTACAATACGAACCATGTACCCCGATATACCCCAAAACTCTACTCTCATCCTTACCCACAGGCTCCATAGTAGTTCCTTTTTGGGATTACCTTTTAGAATCCTAAACATAAGCCCTCAAAAGGGACTACTATGGAGCCTATGGGTAAGGACCCTACACGGAGGAGAGCTGATCCGGGGAAGTTTCTTGTCAACGAAATTGTGCGTCCGCATTTTCTTTGGCTCACCTCTCGGCAGCGCGGTTCCTTTGGCCTCCCCCTGCCGCTGTCAGAGGCCAGGCTTGCTGTTTGAGTGCACCTAAGCGGAGGGGACCGGCAAGAAGTTTCGGGTTTACCCAAAAAGCCCTAAACCCTAAACCCCTAAACCCTAAACCCCTAAGCCCCTAAACCCCTAAACCCTAAACCGTAAACCCTAAACCCGAGTTACAATCTAGTAGCTTCTCTGCTGGGGCCTCCTTTCGCTCAGTTCTATGCCTGCGCAAGGTGAACCGAGGCACCATGGCCGCTGCAAGCGCAGAGGCACTCTCTGCCTCTGGTTGACGGTGCAAGGCTTTGGGTTTAGGGCGTGCAAACTGATGAGTCCAGGGCAGCCGGGGTTAAGATGGCGATGGAGTCTGTTGCTGCTCTTAGCCCTTAGCCTTAGCTCGGCCGAATCGCTGCTTCATGAGGTGGCCTTCGTTGCCGGGGCCGCGCCGACCCGGGTTTCTCCCCTTGCGGCACCAGGCGAGAGTCAAGATTTCAGGGTCCAGGGCTCAAGGAAAACCCTCAGCCCTGAACCCTAAACTCTCTTCCGTCAGCCTAAAGCCCTGGACTTCCCTGGACCCTAAATTTAAAGCCCCGTCTTGGCTACTAGCACCCGTGGACATTGAAAGCCTGGCGCCCGATCCGCTACAATTGAAACGATGCAGAATACTGTCAATGCATTGGGTACTGAAGGGAACGATTTGCAGGGTTATGTGTTATAGGGTACTATGATGGTGTGCCGTAGGGTGCTATGAGTGGACGATACAGGTAGGTTGTGCTAGGAGTTCTTAATGTGTCCTACTGCAAAACCTGAAACAACCTTACTACCCTGCTGTCGCTGCCCTCATTCCGCTTTTTCACGGCTTCTCACGTCTACCTCACTACCTCAACTAACCATTCGCTACATGTTCACCACCCATTTGCGGCCCACCCCTAAACTCCAAAACCCCAAACCCTGAGCCCCAAAGTTCAAGCCCCCGATTGCCTGGTAGCTCATAGAACAGTATAATGTAAGCCAATCCTTAAAACCCCAAAACCCTAAAACC